GCATTTTATTGCCTGTAATGAACATGTGTGTTTTGGATGTGTATTATGTACAGTGTTATCTTTATTCAGTAAGGTGTCTTATTTTGTAACTGGTATACAGTTAACCTCACTCAGTCCACTGCAGATGCCAGTTTTTTCATTTTACAAATATTTATGGCATACCTACTAATGCTGTGGGTGCCTATGTTGATAGTCAGTAGACTTCTATTGTTTTTACCTATTCATCGCCATTGTCTATTTTACATATTGCAGCATGCAAGTTTAGTTTTGAAAACATACATTCTCCAAATAAGCAGACCTGAGAGAATGGCCTTTACTTTCCGTTTCATGTTCCCTAACCTGGTTCAGTAGAACAATCCCTGAGATTGTATCTTACACAGAGTGGCTTTTGTGGTTCCTGTGCACAGCATTCATGCCTTTGTGTGATATCCTTCTCTTGATTGGGACAGGAACTGTAAATTGTCTCAAGCTACCTAGAGCCTGGCAAAGGTGACAGGATATACCTGGTCATATGACAATCATCCATGGAGGATTGATTCCAGGACTGCTTCAGATACTGAAATACATAGATACCAAAATCTGTGGATGCTCATAGCATCCTAAATTTAATGGTAGTTTGATACCTACCAATATTCACACCCACCCCCCCCCCCACACACACACACAAACACTCTTCATGAAGATCTCTAATAATAAAGAGGATGGTGGGAAAAGGCAATCCAAATTATATATTGAGACTTTTTCAGAAAGACCAGTGTTAGGAAAGAATGGACAGACATACATGTGAAGGTTTGGGAATGAATTCAGTTAAGAATATCCATGCCTTCTTGGGGCAAGAGAGAAAGAGGACAGCTACCACCTAGAACACAGGTATAAATAACCCTTTCCTTTCCTGTCTTCTTTCCAGTCTTTACTAATTTTCTACAAAAATGAGAACATACTATGTACATAGTTTTAAATCCTGGAGTTTCCAAACGGCATTATTCTAGGTTACTAAATTCTCATATTTTAATTATTTTACATTTGATCAGTCAGTTTGGGATTGGAGCAGAGTTGCAGATTGCAGAGTACAATATCTGCACATCTTCTATATCTCTGAACTCCACAAGTTGAAGTTACACTGCTGTGCTCTCAGGCTACCTGAACTAGGGGAACTGTTGAGTGTCCCCAAACAAGAAAGTTTCAGACTTGAAAATATTGCTCAGTGCAGTGGCATTCTTTCTAGAATAAATATTTTACAAATGTTTCTCACACCTGTCATTGAACATTTTCTGCTAACTTCAAGTCTTCAAGTGTTTTTTTTTTTAATTTTTTTTAGTATTTTGCCAGTTTTTTTACAATTGCTATCAGTGGCAGAATCTTACGATCTTTTCTTGCCACCATCATGGGAGTCCTGCTCAAATGAGTATTATTACATTCATTTGTATATTATTAAAAGTTCTTGTTAATTTGATAGATTGACTCACATTGCTCTTCTAATATTGCAGCTTCAACTATTAGTGTGGTTGAGCATTTTTGTGTGCTTATTGTCTATTTGTATTACATCATTTGTAAATTACCTGCTCATTTCCTTTGTATGTTTATTCTGTAGTCTTAATTTTTTCATATTGATTTAGAAGTGTTTCCATTAATAAAATATGATCTTTGCCCAAATTCTTAGATATACTTCCCTCTTTGTGATTTGCCTTTAAATTTTTTTTATTATATGATTAACATACAAATTGATTTTTAAATGAGTGACACCTCTACAAATTTCAATCTTATTTAGGGGTCCACTTTATCTTTCTATTAACTTGAGTTGGTTTCTATGCCATTAATATATGAATTTTAATACAGGTCTCATTTATCACATTTTTAATGTTTTCCATATTGATACTACTAGATATTTTTATGATGTTTTTCATTACAAATTCTAACTAGATAGTGTTATTTGATAGAAAGCCTATACCTGCCTTATAGATTATCATTTTACCAAAGTTTTGAATATGTATTATCTCACTTAATGGTCAAAAGCCCTATAATGTACCTTTTTATTATACTCATTATTTTAAAAGATGTATTTATTTATTTGAAAGTCACAGTTACACAGAGGAGAGTGAGAGTCAGAGAGAGAGAGAGAGAG